TCCGCTGCGCTTGGGGGTTTCTCATTGGGGAATCGTGTTTTCTTAAAGGGTGGTTGCACGGAAACACAACTGACTCGGGGCCACCAGGAATCCTAGTGTTGTTTTTTGTGGCGAATAAAAGGAACCCGTAAGACGTTGGATGATTACCTAACTTTTGGACTTAATTTAAGCAACAATCACGATCTCTACAAAAACTTTTCATTCTCTACATAGGAGGCTTTTGGACAAGGTGATCATTGTGTTTCTTTGTGCCTATTTTCTGGGCGCTATAATTTTGTTCTGCCTACGTAGCAGAAACGTGGTTCCCAGTAGGGTTTTTCCCCCCCTCAAAACAAAAGACAAACTGTGACAATTCTAAGCCTTTACCGCTTTGCCACTGGGTGTTTAGCAGGCTCCAGCAGTGGCGTCAGGGTCACCTGAAGAGCTTGTTCAAAAGATTTCTGAATTCTAGCTGGGGCATCTAGAATGTAACCGAAGAATTTGCATTTTAAGCAATTCTCTGGTGTTATTAGTTGGGGACCACACTCATGAGAAAGAGTCTACATCCAGCTGCAGCTGGAATCCTTTTGCTTGGTTTTTGTTTTTTCCTACTCAGGGCTCTGGCCCCCACTAAATTAGGCTTCCTCTCCAGTTCAGAATTGAATCCGCTCGTTTATGGACTGCTGTCTGCCGATTCTCACATCCCGTTTGTGTTTCTTCCTCCACAGTGCTGCTATTTATGTCCAAACACAAGAATGGAATCCTTAAGATTTTCTACGTCTTCTTCCAGAATCATAAGCAAGTTCTCCCTGGCCCCTCTGCCTCTGTAGGCTCACTCCCTCTTCTTGTAGGTCTGCCAAATAATTGAGCCTTTGGTGTTCCTATCACCTGCCAGCCTGGAATTTCTCTGACAGCTTTGCAGGAAATGAGTGTGCTGCCTGACCGTCATCTTAGACTTTATCCTTGATCTAGCCTTGATAAAAACCTAAGTCACTCGGGAAACTGTTTAAATTGCAGATTTTAGAATTTAGGGTCTCTGATACCATCATGAGATGTTGCAACCAAAGAGGTCATGGTGCAACTCGTCCTTGGGAGACACCTTTCCTGGACTTCCACTGGTGTTTTGTGGCTTTGAGCTGTTTGTTTGTTTTGTTTTTGTTTTTGTTTTTTTATATACTTTTACCCCTACTTCAGAATAGATTGGGAGTCCCAAAAGGAAAGTGGAATTTTGGAGTGTGTTCTACATGAAGTGGCCCTACTCCTCAACATGCTACATGCTTAATAAATGTTCTCCTGAGTAAGCCAGAATCTGAAGATGGTTTAGGATTTACCAGACAAATTAGTGTATCTGTTCACTGCAGGCTCCAATGAATTCTCACTGAACTTTAACCCCCCCACATCTACATCCAGTTTTTCTAGATATTTTTATTCCTCCTCATCCTCAGAAGGATCCAGTTTTAATAGAATGTTATATTGACCAAGCATTGAAAGCTAATTCCCAATGCGATGTAATGATATTTGGAGGTGGGTCTTTGGACGATAACGGATCACGTGATGTCTAAGCTGGCACAAATGGAGAAGACAGCAATCTGAGTAAAGAAATTTCCTTGGAAGATACTAAATCTGCTGGTCCCTTGATCTTGGGCTTCCCAAGCCCACGGAATACGTGGGAAGTTTCTTTTGTTAAACCATCCAGCTTATGGTCTATCAGTCTATCATAGGCACTCAGAAAGACCGCAACACATAAGGGCTCCCTGGATAGGAGACAGGTGTATTCCATTTGTCTCACTTCAAAAGTGGTTTTGGGTACTGAATCTGTGAACATATAAGTGATCTCATTTGACACCACCAATGTGAGTAACAGAGAAGAATAAATTCTACATTAATGAGACCTGAGAGCTGTGGATTAATGGTCTGGAGAAAACTCTTTGCCAGAGGTCATAACCCTACCAGAACCTGAGACAGAAAACTGTTCATCTCTCCTCTATTCCCTGCTTCTCTATAACTGGAGTCTTTAAAAATAATACTAGCCACATGGGTAAGATGTATGTGCTCACTAGGGAAGATTAAAACAACAAAAGGTACCGTGGACACCTGCTCTCCTTTACTCTCAGTGCCTTCAGAGTAAGTATTAGCGTGGAAATAGTCTCTGCGTTATGTGGAAATGCCCTGTGGATATTTCATTTGCATTGGTGGTCTGAGTAAGGCTTTTATTCTGGATGTTCTATCGCTTTATGCAACTAATGATTGTCAGGTGACCTTTTCTTATTATTCCCTGCAACTGCTATAGACATGACTGACCATTTATTGAATCTGTCCCCACTGATAGTCATCCAGATGGTTCCTGGTGTATAGTCATCACCAACAGTGTTCAGTGAGCAGTGAGCAACCTTTGACTGTCCCTTGCATACATAAGTTAGGACGCATCGCAGAAAGGGCCAAATAAGAGAGTCTAATATTTGGTTTATGGCTAGACTAAGTCCAAACTCTACAAAGTGTATATAGGAGTAATTGTACCATTAGTGGTTTTCTTCTTCTTAATAAGTTAACAACTTGGACAGATCCTCAATATACAGTAGTGAATGAATGAGCGAGTATATATGGCTTGTATCTTTTTTGTTTGTTTGTTTGTTTTGTTTTGTTTTTGCTCGTATCTTTTTTTAAATGTTCTATATTGCAAAGGCTTCCAAAGCTAATGATGTGGCTCAGTGGTAGGGCACATACTTAACTTTCATGAGATCCTGGGTTCAATTCCTAGCATGTTAAAAAAATGGGTGTTTCAGCCACTATTGAATTTTGATATGTGAAACTTACTTCACGTGTCAAAGAAGTCCAGAGACAACCAGTTCCAATTTGGTATATTAATTTGTTTTGCTGAATATGTAGATACCTTTCCCAGAATCTAAAATGTTCTAAAGATGACTAGGGTGCTCGCTATCACTTCCATGTCATTGGTGGAAAGGAGGAAGAAAATAATGTGAAAAGGACACCTCTTTCTTTTTAAAGAAACATCCCAGAATTTCTGCTTGTATCAGTGAGATGTGTCACCGTCCCCCCCATCAGTGTGCTCGACTTAGAATCAGGTTTCTTTACTAAGGCATGAAGAAGAAATGGACGTGAGAGACAAGTAGAAGTGACTACTGCGGATAGATACTGTGTGGGTCTGCAGAGAAGATAAGGCGACAAGGTAGTCCTTAAAAGTCCAAAACTCCAACCATCGGGCAACATGATTGGTCACAAGTCGACTAAAGTCTCCTGGCATTTTCTTTTTTTTTTTAAATATTTATTTATTATGTATACAATATTCTGTCTGTGTGTATGCCTGCAGGCCAGAAGAGGGTACCAGACCTCATTACAGATGGTTGTGAGCCACCATGTGGTTGCTGGGAATTGAACTCAGGACCTCTGGAAGAGCAGGTAATCCTCTTAACCGTTAAGCCATCTCTCCAGCCCCTCCTGGCATTTTCTTAACATGACAAAGTATTTGCTGGGAAAACAGAAGGAAGTTGTAGAAAAAACATTATGGGTGCTGTTTATTGAGCATGGAGAGATGATAGACATAAAGACAGACAGATAGATGTTAGATAGGAAGACTGCATTGCCTGTCCTAATGATTGGCAGTCCTAAGGCTCTGGCTTCTCTTAGTCTTCATGGGACAGTAAAAGTTACTCTTCAGATGTTAAGCACTCAACAGATGTGTGTGCTTTTAGGAAACAGTGTGCTACTTGAGGTAAACCAGGAAAAAATGGAGTGGAAAATAGTGTAGCCATTGTCCTTAACCCCTCTTTGTCCAGGGATTTCTCTGTGGAGTGTTGCTTGTCTGTTTGTCTTTCCAGTTTTCTAAGTTTATTTGATCACTCAGCTGTTACTATTTTTCTCATGTTGACTGTCTAATTTCTGAATGTACTAGCAGGGACACGAGTTACCAAGCACACAAGTCTTGTTTGGTGACTCCTGAGCTTCATCATATTTTATGGGCAAATGCATGTGGATATGAACCATTTCTTATTTTGTTGGCCAAGATAACTTTGTTGAATCTGGTATCAGTGCACACATCTAGGAACCCTGTCTCCTTCATGGAAAATTTGTGCATTTCATTGAGTGCCAGAGGAAAATGCTTCCTGAAACCCACTCGGGTAGATGTGCGTGTGAATGTTGATGGTGTGTTCTCAAGTCTCCACCTCCTTGATGGCTGTTTCAACCCCCCCTATTTTCTAATCACCCTTTTTTTGTAGGGCCATCAAAATGCAAGCAACAGGGGGGCTTCTGCCTGGCGCAAGTTGGAAAGGAAGGATAGCAGGGACTGCCACTACTGTGGTTTTTTTGGGAAAATTATTAAACTCCTCCTCAGTCTAGAAAGATTAATTCTTGTGCCAGCTCGCAAAGCTTACAGTTTCCAGGAACCCATGTGCCCACTGCCCTGAAGTCCAAATGCTTAGCCTAGGTATTCCAGCTTATGGGAGGTGTTCTGGAAAGGAAGCCCCATGTAAGCATATATGAAGAACCGCACAATTTCTAGACCTAGATCCACCAAAATTAGCGATGTCACATTGTCCTGCTTATTAATTTAAAAAATTTCCCAGGGCTGGGAACATAGCTCAGTTGGTAGAATGCCTGTCTATCATACAGGAGGTCCTGGGTTTGATCCCCAGCTGCACATAAACAGGACATGGTATGGTACACCTGTAACCTTAGTACTAGAGAGGTAGAGACAGGAGGATCAGAAGTTCAAGGCCATCCTTAGCTACATAGTGAGTCTGAGGCAACCTAGGCTACATGAATAAAAATAAAGTGAATAAAAAAACAAAACAGAAAACAAGACAAAGCTTCAGACTATTATTTTTATTACTACTATTATTATTTTTATTTTTCAAGACAGGGTTTCTCTGTGTAGTCTTGGCTGTCCTGGAATTCACTCTGTAGACCAGACTGGCCTTGAATGCACAGAGATCTGTCTGCCTGCCTCTGTCTCTTGAGTGCTGGTATTAAGGTCTGCTCCACCACCGCCCAGCAAAGCTTTTGGACCTTTATGGAGTATCTACAATGCACATCTGGTCTCCAGAATACCCACAGGACTGGAATTTTCACTCACTTATGCAGCAGTGTAGCTTGGGTTGCAGGGAAACATGCCTTCTTGCTATCTTCCTGGTTTTTCTGAAGCATGCTGTGTTTATTCTATAGTTCTGACTCAGTGGTTGCCTTTCTGAAGAGAGATGAGCCAGAAAAGGTTCACAAAGGGACAAATAAAGAAATTAAGTATTTGGTTTTAGGATAAACTCTCCAAAATATACAAGAGGTCAAGATTTGAGTACAATCACAAATTATAAAGTCAGGGATAGGAATAAGGGAATAGAATTTTTGTAGGAAATTTTAACACATAAAAGCATAAATGCTGCCAGGCAGTGATGGCACACACCTTTAATCCCAGCTCTCGGGAGGCAGAGACAGGTGAAACTCTGAGTTCGAGGCCAGCCTTTTCTTCTGTTTTGTTTTGTTTTGTTTTGTTTTGAAGTCAGGGTTTCGCTGTGTGTAGTTCTGACTGTCCTTGAACTTGCTCTGTAGACCAGGCTGGCCTCGAACTCACAGAGATCGCCTGCCTCAGCCTCCTGAGTGCTGGACTGGGATTAAATATGTGTGCCGCCATGCCCTGCGAGGCCAGCCTGTTCTACAGGGCAAGTTCCAGGACAGCCAGAGCTTCACAGAGAAACACTGTCTTAAAAAAAACAAAACAAGCAAGCAAACAAACAAACAAACGAAAACTAAAAAAGGCATAAATACTTTTCTGAAAGTGTAGAAGTAATTTTAGGAAAGGTAGGGCCAGTTTATATGGCAGATAAATGATGGATAAGATAGAGGAAAATGAAATGGCAAGTTGGAGAGAAGAAAGGCTTATCACAGCAACAGGCTAGGCATGCTGAACTCTGGTGGAAACCCAGTTTTCCCAGTTCCCCTGTTCATGTCGATCTAGATTCTCCCACTGGGACCTCAGGGCAGAAATCCCTCAGGGATCCCACAAGGGATCTCTGCTGGCCTGTGGAGAATTGATGTCAACACCTGCAGGTGGGCTGCGTTGGCTCAGAACTTTCCCTCTACCTCCGAGAACTCAAAGGTTAGATCCTGATGCAGAGGCTCGCAGGAGAACCAGAAGTCATCTGGAAGGGGTAATGCCTCCTAGTTGAAGTGAGTGGTTAAGGCTAGACTCCAGCATCTGTGTCTCCCCAACCTGGAACATCCCCATTTGTCTTCCCAAGGAGCTGCCCCAGTTCTCACAAGCCTAGGTAGGTGAAGATCCCAAGACACACTTGACCCCACTGGTCAAGAGAAAGATGGAAAAGAAGTTGAGGCACTGTGATAAGTAGCAAGCTAATAAGCTCAAGCAGACACAAGAAATGAGCATAGCAGACATTCCCAGAGAGGTCAGAAGAGATGTAAGAAGTGGAGGACATTAGAAACACTGTAACACTGGCCAAATGGTCAGTGCATGGGCTGACATGGCTGTCTCCCCAAATAAAGAGGTGAGTTAAAAAGATAAGGTCAGGGGTTAACTTGGAAGATAGCAACAAGGATAAAAACATGCAAAGAGTGAAAGAAAGGTCAAGATATGGAGGACAGAGAGAAACCAGCCAAAGTCGTGTAAAGGAATCCAGCACAGCGGCATTAGAAAGGGAGAAGCAGAAGTCGGAAGTAATGCTGACTGTGAAGATAACTACTGCCTTCATGATGCCAGAATTCTGTATCTGAAACGCTCCTGCTCTGTTTGGAGGCTGGAATGAGGCAGGATGCCTTCCTCTGAACTTTAAGAGTGTCAGAGTCGAACAAATAACGACACAAGCACAGGTTGTGGGTGGAAAATGCACCATTGATAGAACTAGGTCCATGAGAGATGGGGTA